TGCTCAAAAACTATTGCTGGAATTTGAGCGGTGTCAGAAAGCAGCCCGCTTTCCGCAAAACATATTACTAGACACAGTACCCGAGAGAGACAAAACTGCGCCACAAAACTTAACACACTCTTGCCGTATTCCGAGATTAAACAAAGCGGAAGTATGTACAAGTGAAGTGAAGAATTACTTTGCTAAATAAATGAAGAATAGGAAAAGAACAAGACTGAACAGGGGAAAGTAGAAGAAAAACGAAAGAAAAAGTGAAATATAACACAGAACTGAATATTATGAGAACGAAATTTGCCTGGAAATTCTTCAGCTAACTTAGAATCGACCCGAATCAACTTCACCGAAGAACTCCCACTCCAGCAAGCCTTACCAAAAGCGATAGAACGAAGCACTCTTGTCGATAGGTTATATTAAATTGCCCCCCCCCCCTCCATCCCATCTTCTGACCAAGACCGAGTTTACTTGCTTAACAACCAGAAGGAACTTATCGCCACAACCTGATTGTACCTAACAGCAAGTTGGATGATATTTAGACAAGTGCCCTTCATGCATCCACAGCACCTCCAAGAGGGCACAATCCTTTGTGCGCACTCCGATGGAGAGGACATGCGAGAACAAGGACGAAGGCTTTGAGTGAGGCTGCAGCTATTCGTTGAGTGCAAGGCAGTCAGCTTGCCCTCACTATCTGAAAAAAGCGAGCAAGAAAAACACGAACGCCTGCGGCGGTCCAGTGTCCATTTGAAAGGCGCTGAGTTCCGGTTGAATGCGCATGTCTTCCTGTGGACAACGCTCACAACTGGGGCGCTCTTTTGCCGCACTTGCTACTTGCTCCTCCGAAGGTACTGGATTTGTTTATCAACAACTTCGCCAGCACCTCTCTAAAACACCCAGATTTTTGAATTAATCTGTTTTTGGCTACTGTTTAAGATGCGGCTCCCAATATTTTGCAAACCCTTGTGATGTAGACCCTAACGAATTGTTGTTTATTCAAGAGCGTAATAACTTCAGTGTCAGGATTATGACTACGGCCGCTAAACTACACGGGCAAACCAACGCCGGACCGATTTCTGGACGAGTCTTTCGCGCGCCGTGCCATTGTGAATTTGAAGGCTCACCCTCGGTAGTTCCATTTCGTCTGACTATGTGTTCAGTATCCCTTTCAGTCTAAATTCTACTGAATCATGGCAGAAAAGAGTCCATTGCCCATTTCAAAGTCGGTGGATGGGTACAGAAAGGCATCAGGGTGTGAAAAGGGATGGAAATGACTGAAAAGGATGGGTCAACTAGGGACTGAATATTTCAACCTGTCAGCAATTGCGTGGCTGAGCGGGCCACATTTTTAACACATTGCGTACCGTGTGCGCCACATGGCGGCGCACGACTTTCCTGCTTCGTGTGGCCGCGTGCGCCACATGGTGGCGCACGACTTCTGAATTGGTTTTCTTCACAGTGGCTGTCGATGTTCATTCCATGTTTGCGCAGATGTATGTTATCTCACTAGGAGAACAACATACTTGAGTGGGACATCTCCAGCTTGTGAGCTAATATTTTTATGTGACACTAATAAGAGCCTAGGTTGCTAATTAAATTTGCTTGAATAAAATACATTCTTTCGAGCAAATTCAACAGTCACCGCAATCTAGCTGTAATCCAACTGAGCTGCAATAATGTGTTTCAGCCAAAAGCTTCGCGTGAATAAAGTGATGTGCCAGCGAAACATCAGCGTAAAGGCTTTCGGAGCGCTTCTTCCACTTAACTTGCCTTTTGGCTGTATACTTTTGAAGTCTCGTGGTTTTAGGCACTCATCTTCATAATAACTTCTACTTGAAATCCTACTCACGCTTGCGCTACCCTCGTATCAAAATCGATAATAAATGTTCGGCAAATTATGGGTGTAATACACCCACATCCCTTGAAGTCCAGTGGAGGGTGAAATGCACCTACGAATATCCTGTAAACTGAATAAACCTCATTGCTGTTCAATAAACATGCTTAAGCAGGTTGTGGGGTAAAGGAACGAACTTGTTGCCATCGCTTTTTTTCACCAGAACTTGGTCAGAGCAGATTTTTTGATCCCTCACTACCGCTGTTATATAATCATTCGATAGCCACTTGGAATGTTCATGACAATTCAAATAGGCAAAAATTATAACGTAGTCCTAACAAAATTGTGACTTAGCAAGACAATAAAAACAAAGTGGTAAAGGACCCTCTAAAAAGGATTTTGAAAAATATCTGTCCCGTGTGGCCGCATGCGCCACCATGTGGCGCACGGTGCGAATGCATGCGCGGCCAGGCGAGCTCGCCAGCGCAAAAACGGCTTGGTACGCAATGTGTTAAAATTGGTAATCAAACTTGAAAGGCCGGCGAAGCGCGTAATTAGGGGCTCCTTGCGCCCGACTTATGAGATTATTAACGTATCATAACTGAAGACTTGGTTTTTCTTCATTAACACATTGCAGTAGAGATAGTAATCTGTGGACGTGGTGCGAAGGACCATAGCATCACCTGACGGAGAAGAACGGTGCTATGTGAGCGCAGGGTGGCATGGGGGTAGGGGTAGGGGATACGCCGACTTCTGACATTGCTTACTCCACAGTAGGCTTAGACTTGCGGAGTAGTTCCTCCTTCCGCTGAGGCTGAGCCTTAGGGAGAGAAGGAGCTCCTCCCTGAACGAGCCTTACTATTTTCCACAAGCTCCTTCCTTCGCGAAAACTAGGGTACCCAGGAGGAGGCCCATCGCGCGGCAAGAAGGCCGAGTCGGCGGACGAGTCGCGGCGCGTGATGTGCGATGAAGGACGTGCAATGGGACATTCTATTTAACTTGACGCGATTTCCCTAATACGCGCGCGACTCGTCCGCTGACTCGGCATTCTTGCCGCGCGATGGGCTCCTCGGGGTATTCCGAAAACCAGCCCTCTCCTTGCCTCCCCTCCCTCCCAGCTCACAAAGCACCGAGAAGACTAATGATCTGCACCTCGTTAATATACAGTCCCACAGAATAGCTCCTGAATTCAGCAAAGCCACGTAAATGAGTCGCAAGTAAATCGGAGTCTTCCCTTTCGAGTTTAGCTTACTGCCAAACTGTTGCTCGTTCCACACTGTAAATCCATCGAACCTCCGCACAAAGGGTATCAGAAAGCGGATTCAGAACTGCAGTTAAATTGTTCTAGGAGCAAAGGAAAATACAGATATGCACCTTGGTAAATTCACAGTCTTCCTCGCAGACTTCTTAACACAAACCATAACAGAACTCGTCCTATCTTGTGTTAATGCATGAATTTTGGTTTCTCTATGGCTGGTTTCTTCTTCTACCTTCTACTATCAGTTTTCGTGTCCATTGTTGATGTAAGATACTGGTCGTACAATGAAATGAACGGAGTGAGCCTCAAATTCATATGGCGCGCGCGAAAAACTCGTCCAAAAACTCGTCCGCCGTTTTTTCCCGTGTAAGTTTAGCGGCGAGTCTATTTTAAATAGAGAGTTGATTAAAGCTTCCGTTGCGTGGACGAAAATGCGTGCCATAAGTATACAACATCCGTTTAAGTGGATTTTCAAGTATTGATAAAAAGATTAATCCTAGTCGTCAGCGATCATTTCTACAGCATTATCCTCTCCACTATGTTGAGAGAAAGTCAACAAATAAAAACTTGATCAGCGCTGAACGCACTGTTTCACTGATGTTTTGTTTGTACCTCACCTCCATCTATCCCCTGCAAGAGTATCTCGGGACTATATAAACACTGAAGGAATTTTAAAGGGTTTTTGGTGTACGCATGAACTGCGGAAAACAGCTCGAATTATATCAGTGTTCTCTACTCTCACGATCAAAGTGTTAGAACGAAGTAGTTTACCTCGGTGAGACGAATGCTAGATTGGCCTGCCCAAATAATGACAATGATTAGCGCCCTCTAACAACCGTAGTTTTTAAAACTTCACACCCCTACTTGCCCTTCCGGGCCCGTCCCAAACTCTGAAACAAACTTCCATCCGGTATCTCTATACACTTGATTCTGAGACCTAACGACACGCCCTCAACTCCCCCATTTCTTTCCTTCCAAAGGTTATGAAGGAGAGGAAGCGGCAGTAACCATAGCCGAAGAAACGGCAAACTCCGTTGATCCCTCCAATTTTCACCTGTTCTCACGTTCGTTCCGCTGAAGTCTTATCCATTAACGTTAAAAATAAACCATGGCAGAAAACGAATTTCTCAAACTTCTCACGAGTGCGAACCCTTCCTTCGTACTTTCCCAAAAGGGAGTCAACCTGGTCATCCCGAGATGCGAGTCCTCATTCAAATCGCAAACGCGAACCATCTTCCGTTGAAACAGCTCGAATCAGAATCAACCGTCCGTTCGCAATATTCGAACGAGGGATCGCACTTGTGATTTCAGAAAAAAAGGGGGGTCGCACTTTGGTGTTGACCAATGTTGTCATGTTGTGAACGGAGGTTGTCAAAAGGGATTGAGTTTGGATGGGTTTTTTGTCGAATTTGGTGAAGGTTTCACGAAAGTAGTGAGAATTGTGCAAACTTGCTGGATTTGATGATGATCATGATACCAATATATACAATTTATCCCTCCGCTCGGCGCGCTGTTGAGAGGAAGTGGGAGAGTCACTGTGTCGACTGGTCAGAATCAAGTGACCTAGAAACAGTCACGAAGGTGAGGGTGATACGAGGAAGGGGGATGGTATATCGGGGGAGCTACTGGGACTTATGGTGATGGTAGGGTGTCGCATCGAGACCTCGCTAGAAAGGGTTGTAGACGGGCGGTTGACTTTGCCCTCACTCACTGTGCCACCTCCTACTTTGAGTGGAAGTCGAATGCGTGGCTTACCGTTTGAACAGCCTCCGCTACTTTGAGTGGACGTCGAATGCGTAGCCTTACCGTTTGAAGAGATCAACACTGATCTCTTTTTGGTGGATAGTAAACTACAACTGACTCTAACGCTACTATACTCCGTAATGGGTAATCTTTTTACAGGTGTGAGATGCAGTAATGACAAAGATTATACTGCGAACCAAATCTGCTCTTCAATCTCTCCGATGGTTTCGCGCGAGGGCGGAGGATCCTACGAAGCTTGTCGATCTCAGTAAATACCCTCCAGAGAGAATACGAAATTTTAGGGCATGTTTGCTATTTGCACACTTTTTTTTTCTGGTTCTTAACACATACTTTTCAGTATAGTTGCTCATGTGGATCATGGGAAGAGCACATTGGCTGATCGGCTTTTAGAGTTGGCAGGTGTTGTGAAGCCTGGGGAGCAGAGAAATCAAATGCTTGACCGCTTACCTGTGGAGCGAGAGAGGGGAATAACGGTTAAGGCTCAGACTGTTGCTCTACCGTATAAGGTAAAGGGTAATTATACTTTTCCGACACTAAAAGAATTTGTTCAGTTCTGTGCATTGATTCAGGATTACTTACTAAATCTGATTGATACGCCTCTGGTCATGCTGATTTCTCAGCAGAAGTATTTCGATCTCTCGCCGTTTGCGACGGAATTCTGCTCGTGGTGGCAGCAAATCAAGGAGTTCAGGCACAAGTTCGTTGTGTAGTTCCTAGCATTTGTATCTGAGAATTTATCAGTTTTGCTAAACTTCAAACCAAAACTACATAGGTGTCGTGAGGAACCCACAATCTTGCGTTAGTTTGTGAAAACTCCTATATTACGCTTGAAGGGTTCTAGGAAAGAGGCGTCGGGGAAGGCCATACCTGAAGCGATAAGTGCTTAGGCAGAATACCAGTTGAACGAGGCAAATGATATCACATAAGTGCTCAGATTGACAGAAAACCAATGCTTTTTTGCGTGGACATATAATAGTGGAATCGCGTTGTAATACTTTCGTGGGCTTTCTCCTTTCTCACTATTCTTCTGTCAGTGCCTCTACTTACCTGCCGATTATAACTTAATCTGCTAGAAAGTGTCTCAGTAGTTCCTGCGTATTATGGCGTTTTCAGACCATCGCCAACTTTTGGCTTGCCTTCGAGAAGAATATCCAAATGATTCCAGTCATCAATAAGATTGATCTTAGCGGGGCTGATGTGCCAAAGGTATGTACATACCATGCATATATGATTTCTTTTCTCAACTAACGTCTATCATTGTTCAGGTAGAGAACCAGCTGAAGAATTTGTTCGAGTTTGATCCTAGTGAATGCATCAAAATTTCTGCAAAATCCGGTCACAATGTAGAGAAACTGTTTGATCTAATAATAGATCGGATTCCACCGCCAAACTCACATAGCGATGCTCCTTTCCGGTGAGGCACTTTCTATGCTGGCTTTAATGATGTTTTTTTTTACTGTGAGCAGTGGGCTCGTTCTATTATGCTCGCCATCCAACTACGTGCTCACAAAAAACTACGATAGAAGATAAATATAGCAGTAATATCGACGGCGGAATTACTGTCCATACGCTCTCTAACATTGCTGCATTCATCGACGCCTTGTCAGCTTTCTTATGCATGTGCGCCCTTTCAATGCTCTTGCTTCTATGCTACCCTATATCGCCCTGTAAAAGCGGTCAACATGATGGTTTGCAGTTTTTTCTTTCCAGTCATTAACGTCGATCATCGCCGCAGCCGACATTATTGGCGAGAGCTACCCACGGTTGACCATTATTCTACGTTACCTTTTTTTCAGCGCCCAAATTTTCGACTCAATGTTTGATCATTTCCGTGGTGCCATTGCTTTCGTTCGAGTTGCGGATGGTCGCATACAAAGAGGGCAAAAAATTCAATCTTACCATAATGATAGAGAGTACGATGTTGTGGAGGTGAGCAAATCTTTTCGTTTTCTTCCTGTTGGCTTGAGACATCCAGCTAAACATTTAGGTCGGAATAATGCGCCCGGATATGACGCCATGTGCAGCGCTTAGTGCTGGCCAGGTTGGCTACGTCATCTGTGGTATGAAGACTGTCAAGGTGCGCCGTTTCAAACACCATACTTATAGCATCGTTTTCCAGATAGCTGATTGTTTTTGTTTCATGGAAATGCTGGGTTTGAGACGAAAATGATTCAAGTTACCGAGAACATGCTGTCTGTTTTATAAATTCTTTTTATTCGAGATAGAAAAGACAGGTGTTTGTGTGGATTCTAGTATTTGTCTTGGCAAGCATAAACACTTAAAGGCTGTAGCAAAGCGAACGCGAAAGAGTAAGTTGCACTGAGCGCCTCGCGGACTGATACAGAAATGTTAAAAAGAAGTGTTAAAAGAGACGATTTGCTAGGAACTTCATGAGATTGTTTGAAAATAGAGGCCGCAAAAGTCGTAATCTTTCACTTATGTTCTGCTCAGATTTTGAATATGTTAAGCATTGCTGTAAAAACCCTATATCTGTTCCGAAGGTGTTTACAGTGTTAGATGTTTTGCAGTGTTCTTTTTGCAGGAAGCTACGGTAGGAGAAACACTGTTCTGCCCTCAAGAAAGAGAGTCTGTGGTGGCTTTTCCAGGATTCAAACCGATAAAACCAACGGTTTATGCAGGACTTTTTCCGGTGGAGACATCCGAATACGACGACCTCAAGCAGGTTATGCGTTGTTTTTTCCGCTTATTCCTCATGTTTTTCTGGAAAATTCGATAGAGCGTTCATAATTTTTCGCTGGTAAAAAGCATTATTCGGTTCTATTTCTTGTGCTGGAACGCCGACGGTCGCGCTCCTTGCATTTTCGGGGGCGGCCAGGGCCGCCATGGTCCACATGTGAATCACGCTGTCCTCATAAGATGCTCTTTTGCAAATTGAAACTGACGATAACGCCGTAACGGATTTAGGTGAGATTAGAAATAGCACTGAAATTCTTTGGCTGATCTTGACGGAATACAAAAAACAACGAGCAATCCTTTATGTTATTTTTTTACGCGCTAATGCATTTAGGTGTAGTCTATGTTATAATAGTAAAGATATCGGAAAAAAGGTGACGCGAAACGTGAAAATGGATCACATGTAGGCGTTGCTCCTTTATGGGTCGAATGTACATCGCGGTCTGCAAAGCGTGTTCACATTTCCTACACTATCATGTCGTCAAAATATTGAAGTAACCTTTTCTATCTTTGAATATTTTAGGCTGTCGAGCGCCTCAGCCTGAACGACCCTTCAGTTGTGATCATTCCCGATTCCAGTCCTGCGCTTGGCTTGGGATGGAAAGTTTGTAGGATATTGCTATGAAAGAAACACGGCTGACAATTTCGAAATAATTTTAGATGGGTTTTCTCGGTGTTTTACACATGGAAGTTTTTGGTGCTCGATTGGATCAGGAATATGGAACCAGCGTCATTTTGACCCAACCATCAGTAGAATACAAAGCCATCGTGAAGGTGAGGACATGATACATTACTTCGCAGGGATTTTAAAAGGTCCTGAAGTTAAGGACAGTGAGACCATCCGCAAGAAACGTTTCGCTGGTAAAGGCGAGATCAGTATTATCGATGCTAGCAAATTTCCGGAGGAGAGCGATATCGAGAAGTTCTTGGAACCTATAGTTACGGTAGGATGTTGTTCACTTGGCTCTTATGTAGTTTTTACAGCACAGTTCATTAAATGTTTTCTCGATTATATGTAGTTCAGTAGCAGATTCAGTCCCTTAAGCTCGGTTTAATGATTTATGTTTTCGAAGGAGAGTCGCGCCACGGAGGATTACGTCTATTTAACTCGCCCTGTGTTCTCTGCTGAGAAAGGCTAGAGCACAGACGACCAGAGAACGGCGCCTGGCTCGGCTCCAAATCTAGAGCAGTAAGGTGTGAGCCTTAGGACTAAGCCTTGGAGGGAGGAGGGGCTCTGGAGTGGGTGTGTCAATCATACTGTAGCAAAATTTGAATGCATCAGATCACAGTAACCATAAGCCGCTGTTCAGGCGAGAGCGCAAGCGAAGGCATTAATTCGAAGCGGTTCAAAGGGCCGAGTTCAAGTTTGTACGTAGACCCCCACGGAGGCGTTGATGATATTTATTATACGTATCACAAGTTTCATAATTAGAAATACTTGTGTCTTCCAATTAATACAAAGAATTGATTTGTTTTGTCAAATATCAATGGTCAGTAGGTTCGCATCATTGTTCCGGCTGAAATGATGGGCGCAGTAAACGGCTTGTGTTCTGAATGCCGTGGAGAACGTGGAGACGTGAGTTCGATTGACGAGAGCAGGTTATTGATCGTCTGGAAATTGCCACTTGCTGAAGGTTGGTCATTGTTATTTTCGCCTATGTTCATATGTCTAGTTTTGCATCCCAAGTCAGTGTCGGGTTCTATTGAGATATATTACATCTTATGAGTTTCAGTGGTCATTGATTTTTTCGAGCGATTGAAACGAATCACCTCTGGATACGCATCGTTTGACTATGAACAAGACGGTTACATCGAGACAAAGCTGATCAAACTGACATTAACTATCAATGGACGAGAGGTGAGTCGAGTCCTGCTGGAAGTGCGGTTCTCGATCGTTCTAGAGTGGTCCTTTCTAGTGTAATCATGTAAAGCATTTTGTACTGGTCAAGAGCGCCGCGTCTATAGAAGCTAGCACTGTGATGGCGGTGGCGTGATAATCGTTTACCTCGGCGGCCTCTAACACACGTGCCGCGCGAATTGAGATTCTTCCTTGCTGCGCCGCTTTCTTTGCGGAGCCAACATAGGTAGACCTCATTACAGACATTCAAGACATTTCGTTGTTATTTTTCAATCCCTTGAACAGAAAGTTCAATGGCACGAAGCACATAGGGATGGGAACCATGGACAAAACTTTCCTTCTGAGTGGGTCTCAAACCTGGGGTTTGCTTTCTGAGTGCCGCGCTATCGGCTGCTCCACGAAAAACCAGGTGATGATCCCGAACTTCTATGATAACGGTTGAGCGTAATGTATGTGTTGAACGAGGCAGTTTTTTGTGTACAGCTGAACTTGGAAATGTCATTAGAAAGGCCTCATCGTCAGTAATAATATGGATAGCGCAGTATCGATATATCATAGGGCAGCATGGGTGAAATGATTCATAATCATTACCACTGTCTCCGTCCACTGTGCAAACCTTCAACAAACAACAAAGTGGACAGAATTGGGAGGACTTGTTGGTCTTGTGTTTCGCATTTTCTTAAGTTGGAGTTTGCATAAAAGTTCAGAACATGCTGAGCGATTAAACGCGTCTAAGAAGATAGCCAATTGTTCTTGAGTAGTGGATATTCTTTTTGGAAAGTATGCATCCATTCCATTCCATTTTTAGGTGCCCGAGTTCTCCCAAATCATTCCTGCAGCTATGGCACAAGAACGAGCAAAGCTACTGGTGCATCGCCTGAAAAGAGAAATTCCACGACAGCAGTTCGAAGTCACGATCAAAGGTTAAAATTGGCTTCTCAACCCAATTAAGATGGTGTGGTTCTGCATTTCAAGCAAGCTTACTTTCGGTAGTGTGGAAAACGAATTTGGCTCTTGTTGTCAGTCGGCGCTATTCGAACTAGCAACGCCAGTTCGGATAGGTGGGGTAACAGCGATTCATAATGATGGCTGGGCAAGATTGTTTAGACTAGTTTTGAACGCAACCGCATCAATGCGATAAGGCTACCATATCTATCTACCTATCAGTTATCTTATCCGCTAGTCGTGATACACGTTGCACGAGGTATCTCGTCCGTAAGTTCACATTAGTCGCCATCAGATCACTTTGTAAGGCCCTAGCGCCATTGTCGCGCACTTTCGAGCCGCGACAACGGCACATCTGTGATACTCGTGGGCTACTCTATCCCACCCACAAACAGATTCTTCGACACGACCTCATCTGGGATTGAGTTAGTTTAATAAGTCGTTGCCAACCTGATCCCCGTCAGCGATTTTTGAGGTCACACTTCCCTCTCGAACCAGGTCGGTGTATGTGCTCAGTTCAGCTTTAAAAACAAAGTTCCTATCTATTTCTTCGACGGGGCGTCCACAATATGTAAGATGTAAAAATCAAACATGAATTAGGCGAAGCCTTGTGTGTAGGGTGTGCGCCAGATTAGGCTGTATCGAGCACAAATAACTTGTAGTTTGCTGCCGGGTAAGCTCAGGTACCGTTAAAAATGAGGCAGTGTGCGCAACGCATAGGTGGATGAGAAGGAGACTACATGCGATAGGCGGGACATTATCTGAATAGGCGCTGCTGGTCCAAATTTTCCATTTTTGGTCCTCACACAGTCCAGAGATCTAGAAAAAATGCTAAGAATGAGCAGTATGTGAATCATGAGCGTGTGCTTGAAATAAACAGAGCACCACCCGCGTGGGATGGAGCGCACTCATAGCTGGTTGTCACTTACTACTAAAATTCACTGTACTGTTCAAGGACATCTTGGAAATCGGGAAAAATAAATAGAAACTAGCGTGGGCGGAGCGGTACATGCACCGATGTAGAAAAGAGGTTCCGTTTGTTCCACTCCAGAACGCCGAAGACCGTGTGACGCACTCATTAGTTCTTGCTTCTGTTTAGCCTTCCAGGTTTGATATGGTGGAACACTTTATTGGTCGACGTTTCGAACAAATCGTCGTTTTCAAGACCTAAAAATTGGTTCGAAGCTCTAGTTTGTAGCCTATCCGCTCACACCCCACTAGTACCAAATGTTACGCTTCTCAGTAATCTCAAACCAAGATAAGTTCCAGCTAAAACCAACCTCTTACGGCTCCACCAGTACTGGGTCCCGCTCGGTTCCGTGGACAGCTGACGAAAAATGAGACACCCTCACTCAAACGTAGTACGTGCAGTGCGTGATGATCTCACAATTCGCATAAGGGAATGAAAGGCAGGAATTCACTCGTGACCAGGGTGAAAATCGTGTCGAGTACGTGGTCGCAGAAGTACGACCCCCCCCCGAAATCGAGATCCTGGCACGACCCCCTAAAACAGAGCAAATTAATTCAATTAACTAATAAAA